ACATAAACATCCCCCACTTTTTCTGTGAACTTAACCAGGTGGTTCAGCTTGCCTGCTCTGACACCTTTCTTAATGGTTTGGTGAGGTATTTTGTAACTGTGCTACTGGGAGGTGGCCCCATCACTGGCATTCTTTACTCCTACTCCAAGATAGTGTCCTCCATCTGTGCAATCTCATCAGCTCAGGGCAGGTACAAAGCCTTCTCCACCTGTGCATCTCACCTCTCTGTGGTCTGCTTATTTTATGGCACAGGCTTTGGTGTGTACCTCAGTTCTGCTTCAGCCCAGAGCTCACCCTCCAGTGCAACAGCCTCTGTGATGTACACGGTGGTCACCCCCATGCTGAATCCCTTCATCTACAGTCTGAGGAATAAGGATATGAAAGGAGCCCTGTTAAGGCTCTCTGGAGGGAAATTATGAAAGACTCTTGTCCTGAGGTTCAGGAGCACATGCCCAGGACTGCAGGCAGCAAAGCCTCAGAGCCAGAGTTGTGGATCTTTGATATGACTGTGAATGTGACACCCTTTCATTCAGTTTACCTCCTGGAGGTTACATGATTCTGGTTTTGACCTCTGTGCAGTGTAACTGCTCTCTTTACCCAGGTTCTTGATTTCTCTGACAGGCAACAGGTTTTGCACTTTGTCTACTCACCTTTTCTTCCAAACAGGAAACATTTATGTCACAGAGAGACAAAGTTTCTTACAAATGATTTCTTCCCACCTGACATATCTTGTATTGATTTAGGTTCTTTTCTGTTTCATTCTTAAAATAGTCATGTCTTTTACAATGTTCATGGAAACAGCAGCACTGGGCACCTGAGAACAATTTTGCAATTTGTGCTTGAGCAAAATCTGAGGCCTCAGTTTCTCTGTTTTGCATTATTGTTCCTGTGTGTGTCAGCATTTTAACTACTTTTCTTGAACATTTGTCTTTAGTATGCTAATGCATTTTGTTACAAGTTATTAAGGTCTTAAAAATTCAACAGTAAATGGATAAAGAAAATATGGTATATATACATATGATGGAGTTTATTCATCCACAAAGAGAAATTAAATCATGGACTTTGCTGGTAAGTGGATGGACCTGGAGAACATGGTTATAAATGAAACAAGCCAGGTTCAGAACGTCAAGGGTCAAACGTTCTCTCTCCCATGTGGAAGCTAGAGAGAAATGAGGAATAGAAAGGGAATCTCTTGAAACTAGAAGGGAGAACAGTAGTGTCAAGGAAGGAGCTGGAGGT